ATTTTCCCTTTCCTTTGGATCCCCGTAACTATTTCCCAACTGTATTTCCCGAAAATACATTTACAAAAAAACAAGTGCGAGTGCACAATTCGCTCTGGTCGTGTTGCAGGAAGTTTTGCATGACAGTCTTGCATGAAATCGAATAAATTGGTCTCTGCCAGAGCTTAAAAATGCGACGCCGAAAAATGCGACACCGATGGCACATATGGGAACACCATACTTTTGGTCGATTTTCGGGGACAGACAGACACACAGACCGACCAACCACCCACCAGGTGACATGTAGAATCTCCTGCCAGAGCTTTAAAAGTTTATGACCTTTACGTGTCCGGCCCAATCTTCGATCAAATTGACTTATTCATACTAGTAGTTCTTGAAGGCTGAAAAGGTGTAAAATTAATACTTTCAGGATCCAGTTATTTTTTGATTCACTCTTTTCTCATTCAAGGATGAACATTGTCCAAACATCCCAAACTCAAACAAAAGTCCTCAATAAAAGACAGGGCTAGGCTTTATATACTCCATGATGAATGTATATGCATTTTCATCAAGGGAGGAAATTCAGGTTTTAGCCTTAATGGGATTTTAACCCAAAGATCAAGAGCTTACCTATCCAATCAATATGGGTTTAATATCCGAGGGGTTAAACCAGCAGCTTAAGTCACTGGCATCTGGAAATTAAGGGTCATCCACTAATGAGGAAACCTTACTTTAGATCCCATTTACTGTACAACAGCGCACAAAATGCAAACAGTGGGAAAAAAGTAATTACATTTCACTGAAAAGTCGATTACGATTCAACATGTCTGAAGTCCAATAACATTGACCAGCTACTGAAACGGAGTGTTTTTTTCACCTGCCACGTGACTTTTGATTGGCTTAATTACAATCATGGAATGTAGCGTATATGTTAAAAACAATTAGGCCTATGACAGCACTTTTGTCAAGTCGGAAAGTCGAGAAAAAAATGTATGCAAGCACAATTTATTTTAAAGTTAGAGAACATCATTTGCAGCTATCCAAAAAGTAACTGACGAAATTATTGTTGAAAAGCATACCAAGGTTTAAAGATAGTAATGGCACTAAACTCCCTGTGAAATTATTCTTTCTGGCATGCTGTAATTTTGAAGAGGACAATGCAATCAAGAAGCTCATTTCCAACGATGCGGCTAAAGGCAATTTTTTTTGAAATTTCCGTTAGTAGTTCGCTTTTATTTCCAGAATGGGTGCGCGCAAGCGTTGACACGACGCACACGCGCGAGCAGTTGCTATTATTCGTTAGTTCAGTGCGCGATATCGCGTAGCTGCAATCTGCTGAATGAGAATGTGTCCCGGACGCTGATTTCGGGCGCAATTCAAAACATGACTCGGCAACTTTTGAATTGAAACCAAGATCCTAGAATGTTGTTTTCTCGGAATGTACAGCATTAACAGAGCTAAAACTTTATCAGGTTAGCTGATGTAAGCACCCTTCTTTAGATTTTGGGCACTTTTGTTGCTTCAAACGAAAAAAAAATACACACAAAATGATGACAAATGATGTACCCTACCTTTAAAATAGACGACAAAACCACTTGCATTCTAGAGGATAAAACCAGAGCTTATATTTTCCCACAAATTTCCAATGACGCTGGCTCCAAAACTCCACTGCACACACACAAAAAGGCACAGCAAGTGTCGCCTATTAAAGTAAAGTAAACTTCTCCATAATACAAATAAAAGCAGACGTATTCTTTGCTTTTCTTTTTTTTTTCGTTGAAGGCCAAACTAATGCATGGGAAAATGTCCACAAATCAATCACACGCGTCTGACAAAATAAATATGATTCTGGTTCTTTGCAATGCCTACCTGTAAAATGTCTCCGATGAGGAAGATAAGCAATCCCATTTACAAGATCAGTGTGACTGTGACGGGTATAAAAACGTCGAAATGAGCAACGTTGCCTTTCAGTGAATACCGACAGAAAGTCAAACACTCTTGGCAGTGGCGAGTTTCCCAAATTTAATTCGGTTGACGTATCTATGTGCTAATGGTATCAATACGAAGTCCTTGGATGCTGACGGAACAATAACCTTCCCTTCCGAGTTGAAACACATACACCCATCCTGACTATTGTTCCCTTGCCTAGTGTCCCACTTATAGAAAAAAACCCAAGTGTTCAAAGAAATTCACAGATATATGCCAAGGTCGGAAACGCAGGGCCACTTGGGTTATATCAACAAGAATACCCATATAGATATTTCATCATTCCCAACAAGTCATTGCAGCAACTCTTCCGTCTACTTTTCTTCATCAGGTTTTTAAAATAATGAGTCCGAACTTCAATCTGCCTTTTCTGAAAACCCAAAATGCCATCACTTTATTCAAATAAAACGTTTATAACAGCAGAACAAAATCTACGATATTACTTGCAACAACTTTCAAAAAGAATTTAATATGATATAGTTTTAACAATTTATATACATGTATGACTAAGCTGAACAGAGAAAATAACTGCAAGCAGGTTTTGAACCTGTGACAATACTTCTGCACAACTGAGCTATATAATGTTGGTGGTCTTTGCTTAGAGGATACTACAGAACCATGATGCAGACTTGGAACAAAAGTATTGACAAATTGGGAGACGACCCATTTAATGGTGATGTACAACATTTGTTTTTTCTGTATTTCTTTTTTTTCTTTTTTGTGTGTGTGAAATGGATGGATTTGGGGGTTAGTATATTACAGCAATGATATTGTTACACTGACCTGTTTACAATTTTGTTTTCACAGATGCTGTTAAAACCAAGTAATGCTGTTCTTGAAGTCTGGTTCCCTGACCCTACTTTGGATGAAACAGAGCAATTTATAGACGTTGGGCATTGGCAGGTCAGGGAGCCAGACGAGCTGGCTTGCACCCGTTCACAGACATGTAACCAATTGCAAACAAAACGTGGACATACTAAATTAGGTAATTTGGGGGGGGGGGGGGGGCAGTATTTGAAGGAAAAAACCCCGTTTTTTTCTTGCAAATTGATACAAAAATTCCACTTTTCTTGAAAATGACAGCACACCAGGTGCCACGATTTCACAGCTTGAGACTATTATTCACCTTCAGTCAAGTAAGGTATTTCATGATAATTTGGCTGTGGCAAAATGTTGTATATCACCTTTAAGGATGAAGAATGGTGGCTGATTATGCTCAATTCAGCACTAAATCACCGAATCCCATCAATGTCTGGGAAAAATGTGCCTCCAGATTGCTGATATGATTAATCTGAGTGTTTATAAGCCAGCTAATGCCCTCAGGTGTCTGGTTCTGCCCATGCAAGCTTTAATTATTGGATGGCTCACTTGGTATAGAGCAATGGTGTCTTTGATGTCGCAGGTTGAATTTTCTATAACTGAAAATCAATTTTAAAAAGGACACTGTCATAAGGTTCAATTGCAGAAAGACAGAAGCACCTGTAGGAAACATTTTCCCGGTGAATCTCCATTTCAAACCCTTTCAAAAGTCATCTTTTTAAAAAGGGTATGGCAAATCTTTTCTCATTTTTTTTTAAGGGGGTGACGTGCAGAGTTGGAAATTCAGGAGTAAAACGTCTGCTACAGCAGTGCTAAGATATCATAATATATCCAATAATATCATTAAACAAATTCATATTTTTTCCAACACATTGAGAAAAACCTGACAATATTTTCATTATGATTGTCAAAAAGCTTGATGGTCCCCAACCAGTGCCAATGAACATTTTTTCAATAAAATCAGCAAATAGCTGAAAAAGCTACAAATTATTACAGTAGAAAATAAGCTCCAATATGAACTCCACCATTACACTTGGGATTTCCGTATAACTACATTTAGTACAACTATGTATTTTTATTACCAAAATAATCATGTCAGTCTTCGGTGTAGTGAAATATACACATGCTATGTACACTCATTTATGCACAGTAAGTAAATACACACTGTAAAATTGTAACACTGCAAACAATGCCTCCTTGCCACTCCATTATGGCACCTGACACACTTTGGAGCATCGAGGTCAGATACTGAAACATGCCTGCACTCCACCATTCATGTTGCCATGTCAACATTTACCTCCCCCCCCCCCCCCCGTCCTATACTGAACTTGATCTTGGCAAAATCAACATTTTAATTTCACCTGGATCTTCTTTGTTACACTTTTTTCTTACACAAATTCGGGTCATGGCTCAACGAAAATCCTGTTCCAATTTTGTTATCTGTAATTTGAGCTGAAAGTTCCAAGAAAAACTCTCTTAAAATATTTCTAACTAGTCTACAATGGACCCCTCAACCTTATAAGTGATTGCATTTCTGAAGCGCAAGTTAAAGGTACATGTAGTATAATTATCCATACAAAAATAATAAACAAGACAATTAAATGCTTGTTGAGTTTAATTTTTATAATGCCATGTATTTTTTTTCAGAGTGCCTGAAAGTTAGCCTCTTTCTACTCTTGAAAAAGGGGTGTGCAAAATCGTGATACAAGAAACACCTATTTTTTTTAAAGGGAATACATAACATTTGCTTGTGCTGTAATTTACAGAAATGGATGGATTTGGGGGTTAGTATTTTCTAGCAAATATTGTTACACTGACTTGTTTGGAGTTTTGTGTTTGTAGATGCTGGGAAACCAAGAAAAACAATCATGTTCCTGTAGTCTGGTTCCCTGACCCCACTGAAGATGAAAAGGAGCAACTAATAGACGTCGGGAAATTGTATCCCACTTAGGATGAAAAGGAGCAATTAATAGACGTCGGGAAATTGTATAGGTCAGGGAACCAGTCTAGCTGGCTTGTACCTGTTCATAGGTTGTGTAATCGATTTGAAACAAAATGCGGACTACCTAATTATGATAAATTGAGAGCAGCATTTGAAAAAGCCATTTTTTTTTTCCAATGCTGGTCGGCCGACCAGCGTTGGAAATTGATACAAAAATACCACTTTTGGTAGCTTTGTTTTTTTGATGTTTGCAAATGCTGTATATTCCCTTTAAAATTAAATCTTAACAATTTCTAGTTTCTATAAATATTATTTAAAAGTTTTGTTCTTTTTCAAATGTGTACACTATCCAGTAATAACAGAGGAGTGAGTTACACCGGAAACACTGCTAATCAACCACCACTAGTTGACAGTTGATTCTAAATGCATGCAATTTCCTCAAACTTTTTTAAACCAATCAAGAAATGACAATCAAATTGTCATTGTATCCCATTCACTCACTAAGTCTTACCTGCTTGAAATGTTGGCCCTAAACTTTGCTGCGCCAGTTTCTGAAGGGGTCTGATGATGAGGCAAACTGCTGCTTCACTTTTAGCTCACTCAAATGACAGTGCCTGCAAAGGTCAGAAATTGGTTATAAGTTTAAAAACAGAAAGTGAGGCAATGATGTTCCCTTGACACTGGACTCGGACCAGATGAATCAGAGAGTTACAGCCAACACCCTAAAAAGATACCATCTGCCTCCCAACGGACAAACTAGATAGATGGTCCTTACTCATCAATTAAAGTTGGGGTCAATGCAGATGAATCTTCAAATTAATTTATTGCTGTATTTCAAAGGAGTTTTAGTTCAGAAGAGCAATATTGGTTGTATTACTCTTCCCCACAGGCTGTGGAAGCTAAATGAGGCAGCGTTGGTCATGAATCAGCAGGTTGGTCCTCATGGCCCACTTTATAAAAAAAAAGTAATATAACCCTTATTGAGCACGCAGACAGAAGGGGCAAAAGGTTTCATATTTTCTTCTAAAAAATGAGCTGGACAGGGTTTCTTCTTGTTCTTCTACTTGCAAATTCTGCGCCAACTTCATATTGTTGAAGACTAGGGCACATTGTTGGGCGCGCAACTTGTGGATGGAGTGTATAACCTACTATTTTGACATTGTGGGCCCATTAGTTATCATTTGCTTACAATTTGAAGGGTTGCAAGCCTTCACAATAGCTTTGGGAAGCTTGTTTCATTGACTTACAGTGCGGGGAAGAAAGACTTCTGGTAATATTCTCTGTTGAAGATGGGATTTTGTAAGCTTGTGAGTTTTCTGTTTGGGAAGAAGCATCTAAATTCTTGGACTAAATTGGCATGTTGACGGCAGCCAAACCACGGTGAATTTTGAAGAACATCTTTTCTGACCCTTTTTTAGGGGGGGGGGGGGGGTGGGGTGGGGGGATGAAATCAGTCACTGGCTCGTCATGCCCTTGAACAACTTTTTAACTTTACACAGAAATGGCACAAGTTCTGTCAGTTTGAATCAAGCTTCACAGTCCTCATTTTGTTAAGGACAGTTGTTACTGAGCTTTGTGGCCCTAAAACAAGTTTGTATCAATACTTGGGCTCATTTGTGCAATGAAAATGAATGGAAAAACCAATATTGATTTTCAAAGGTCTTACCAAGTGTAGTCCATGGGGGAAAAACACCCCAAAATATTCAGGAATTGCAATTCATTCTACAGGCCAGCATGTGTAATGACTCTCTGTAGATCCACAATATGTAGCCAATTTTAAATTATGAATACAACTTTCAAATCACGGGGGTTGGTTTCCTCCAATTTACAAGCTTTTTGTTTGTTGTGCTTCCACAAACAAATAATAAAATGCCAAAGAAATACCTAAATTCAATCCGTCTTGTCAGAGTTAATTTCATCACCTGAAGGATCGTGCCCTTGTGGTAAAAATTTGTGTCAAGGACAGCGCTGAAGAAACAGAATGGGAATATGAATTATGCAAGCACGCAATAGGACAGTGCATGAAATATTTGGAATGGTAAGTTTGCAAATTTCCAGTGAGTAAATATTCACTCCATCTGATTGAAAGTATAGGGACAAGACAATAAGCCTATATACAGAGTGAAAATTCATTCCACCAAAAACATCAAGTTTTCTCTCCAGTTTCCACCATCTAAAAATTACAGTGATTTCACTCATAGTCATCTGGTTTCTAGTTTCACCCTTTGTAGAGATTTAAAAAAAATCCTTTTACGAGTCCAGTCACAAACAACAGGGGATGAACAATTACAAAGAACTGTTTTTGCCATGTTGTGAATTGAGACTATAGAGGACTTGTGATGGATTTATGAGGAAGTTGACTAGAGATGGACTCGAATACGACACAGCTTGAGTCCACCTTGAGTCACTTTTTAGTTGACTCGGACTTCGACTCATTAAACAACTCAGTGAATCAGCCTTTGGCTTTTTAAAAAACAGTAATCTTCCTAATTTTGTTACAGACACTGGGAGTCAGGTTGGCGTATAGCTTTCCTTGCCTTCCACTGCTGTGACCCAGGTCCGAATCCCGCCTGGGCCAACATGTGGATTGGGTTTTCAGTCCCTATACCTGATTCTGTGGGTTTCCCCCAGAATATTCTTCTGAGGTGTTCCTCCCACCTCTAAACTGTAGTTTCTTCTCACTGCCTTCTCTCTACAGGTTTCTTCAGGCTTGCAAGCTACAGTGCCTAGGGTGCTTTTGAGAAATCCTTGGGTTCCTTACCAGAAATGATAACATTCCTTCAGTCATAACAAAAGGAGCATACTCCAATCCTGCCAAAATACTCAAAAGTTGCAAATATACCAAACTGACACCGGAAAATCCGACAGATATGGTTTCATAGAGAAGAGGAATACAAGTCAATATTCTGAAAGTATATATGAAAGCCTAAGGGGTTGGTATCACATATCAAAACTTTAAAATTAAGTTATCAATTGTAATGAAAAGTCAAGCAAATAAAATCTGGGGAAATGACCGTTTTCCCTCCTCCCTCTTATTGTACTTGTATTTTTTTGCATTCTGAAAAGACTGGTACCCGCCCAGGGGAAATTAAAAAAACCCTCAGTGAAACTAATTGACGAATCGGTCAAAACTAAATTCAATCAATGAACAACAATAAAAAAAAAGTTGAAAGGGAAACAATTTGAATAGAACACATAACCCTAGGCTAAATCAAAATTCCTCCTGCACGCTAATTTGCTCCATGTTGACTTATTCATATCCAATAATCTATACCATCCGTCAAACTACATAGCTACACAATATAATGACCTCATATCGGCAACTCAGCAAAGGATCCACCTTAATGCCAAAGGGGTCCGTCACTTAACCTGGACCACTTGTTGAGCCCACTCATATCTCCTGCCTATTACCGCAGGATCAGAGTCTAAAAAATTCCTGCCCATTATTAAATTTTCAAAATTAAGGGCGACCCAAACGATTTTTCTGGTTCCAATCCACGAGGGATGCATGGCATATGAGTTATAATGAAGCACTTATCCTGTTGTATGAAAATAAGTCAAGAACTCAAAAACAAGATTCCCGCACCCCCCCCCCCCCCCCCCCCCCAGCATGTGAACCCTGAAATACCAGATCTGTGAAACCCTTTGAGATACAAACGAATTGTATTATTTCCTTCACTAGGAACCACAAAATTTCTGAAATATTGGATTAATTGCTACTTTTGAGTTGTTTTGAAGCTGGTCTACTTGATCAGTACCAGATGTCTGATGTGTTTTGTCAGAACATTTCTGTGGCAGTAGATCTACTGGTGTACATGCAATAGCTCCAACAATCAAAACACAAATTTGCTGAGCAGATGCAATGGAATATGAGCATTGTGCTTTTTGTGCATCTAAGAATTGTGTGGCACGTGTTTAAAGGGAAAATACAACATTTGCAAACATCAAAAAATAAAACTACCAAATCATTTTGAAATACCTTGCTGGACTGTTAGTGAATGACAGTGTAAAGCATCCTGTAAAATCATGGCACCTGGTTTACTGTCATTTTCAAGAAAAGTGGTATTTTTGTATCAATTTCCAACGCTGGTCGGCCGACCAGCGTTGGAAAAAACTGGCTTTTTTTCAAATACTGGCCCCAATTGACCATTGCACTTGTTTGCAATCGATTACACACCTATGAACGGGTACAAGCCAGCTAGACTGGTTCCCTGACCTTACAATTCCCATATGTATGTAAACTGCTCTGTTTCTTCTTATATGGAGTCAGGGAACCAGACTACAGGAAAATGATTGTTTTTCTTGGTTTTTATAGCATTTTCGAACCCAAAACCTCAAAAAAGTCAGTGTAACTATATTTGCTATATATTTCCAACCCCCCAATTCCATCCATTTCTAAAAAAAATTTACAGCAAAAGCAAATGATGTATATTCCCTTTAAGATAATGTTTTTTTTCCTAAAACATTTTTTTCACATTTCGACTGAATGTCCCCTGCATGTTCAGGGGATGTGTTTTTTTCAGAACATTTCTATGGCAGCAGATCTACTGCTCAGTGTACATGCAATAGCTCCAACAATCAAGAAACAAACTTGCTGAGCAGATGCAATGGAATATGAGCATTGTGTTTTTCGTGCATCTAAGAATTGTGTGGCACGTGTTTAAGATAATGTTTTTTTTACTAAACATTTTTTTCACATTTCGACTGAATGTCCCCTGCATGTTCAGGGGATATGTTTTTTTCAGAACATTTTTATGGCAGCAGATCTACTGCTCAGTGTACATGCAATAGCTCCAACAATCAAAGAACATAGTTTCTGAGCAGATGCAATGGAATTTGAGCACTGTGTTGCACGATGTGCATTTTTGTGCATCTTAGACAACTTGTGTGGCACGTATTTAAGATAATGTATTTTACTAAAACATTTTTGTTTTCACTTTTCGGCTGAATGTCCCCTGCATGTTCAGAGAGGTAATAGGTTGGCATGCATACCTCTAGACAAACAGAAGCAGATGGTTTTGATGAAATTTGATGAAACCAAACCCAAATACCTACCCAAAACCCCCATCAATTTCATGGCCAAATGTGAAGACTGAGCAGATGGGTTTTAACTAAAAGCACAATATGGAGTTGCTAAAGAATGTTGTTGACTCAGTTATGTTGAGTACTAGTCAAAGCTTTATTTTAGATCGACACAAGTCCACATACGGAGATGGGAGCAGCCGTGATATGAGTGATGATTGCTGGGATAGACACATTAGGCTTGGGCGATGCATCGATTAATCATGCACTGCTACATCTACTCTTCTAAGTTTAGTTTTTAACACTCAAACTTTAAATAAGCAGACTTCAGTTTAAAATTCACCCAATCAATGCTCACTTTATTAAAGCTGTGCGTTTTATTCAAAGTGGACTCGTGTCGATCTGAAATAAAGCTTCGACTAGTGCCCAATATAACCGAGTCAACAACATTCATTATGGTGTCAGAAGCGGGATACACACATTAGGCTTGGGTGATGTATCGATAAATCACATGCCGCTACAGTTTGCCTTGCATGACAGAGGCGGAAGAGGGTAGGTTTAAAAGGGAAAAGTGCATTGATCTAGTGCTTGT